TGTTTGCAGAGACATGGACTTTTCCAGATGAGGAGCGTTCACCCAGAGCTGGGCATCTTAGCAATAGCCTCCCTCCTGCTGCCCTGAGTTCAGTGTGCTGAGTTGTGGCTTTGGTCCGACAGCAGTTGACAAAGAGGAGTCACTGACTGCCAATTAATTTTACCTTTGAATCAAGCCAGTGTAATCTTAGCCTTTCTCTGTGCTTCTTTTTAAAAAGTTTCCTGTGAAGGGCAGTGGAGTTTGCCGCTAGTTCAAATGTATTTAATTTGAGCAGCTCTTATTTCTGTTTTTCTCCTCATTCTTAGTTGATTAGCACCGAATCCGTTAGCTGCAGTCATCAATCAAACACTAAACTTGCATGTTCAGGGGTAGGAGTGCTTCTCTGTGATTCTCAGCTTATGTCAGTGTAGGGAGCTGATTTGCTCATGGGTTGTACTGACATCTCTTTTCACAGGAAAAGTGACAGAAGAAAAAATATGGAGGGGCCTGCGAAGTCTGCAGTTAGTTTCCAAACCCCTGGCCTACAGAAATGTCCCACCTGCCCAAGGCACCTCAGGTCTAAGGTATGTTAGGTCTGCCTCCATTTACCAGTGACCCTTCCCAACGGTCCACGCCTGCTCAGAGCTTCCCGTATCCAAAGCTAGAACACACAAGCATCCATTTTTCCAACATGGCTTCATAAAAATGAAGCGCAAGACGGGGCACCTGGGTGGCTCAGTTGGTTAAGCGTCTGCCTTCAGCTCAGGTCATGATCCTGGAGTCCCGGGATCGAGTCCGGGGATCGAGTCCCGTATCAGGCGCCCTGCTCAGCGGGGAGTCTGCTGCTCCCTCTGACCCTCCCCCCTCTCATGCTCTCTCTCTCTGTCTCATTCTTTCTTTCTCAAATAAATAAATAAAATCTTTTAAAAAAATGAAGCACAAGAGAAAACAATCAAGAGTACCATATATAAAATTTCATTGGGACCCACTGTCGGATTTCTTTGCTGGCTTCCTTCTGGAGCTTGGGGCCTTCAGGAGATGCTGGCCGGTGGCATTGGTCAGGGTACTGATAGGACATCAAAGGAATGTCTTCAAGATTGCTGCTCTCATTTGCAGCCAGAAGTCACTGGCTCAATTCACGGGAAACATGTCTGATTTGGGGCAAGTGCTCTGAGCCTTTTGTGTCTGAGTTACTTCACTAGTAAATGCCCCCAGGTCCTGACAGCAGTCGGGGGTGGTGTTCTGGAATGTGCAGTAACATGTGGTCCCCCCACCCCGTGACAACATCCCTACGGGATCTGCTTGGGACTCTGTTTAGCTCCAGGGAAACCCAGAGGCTCTCTGCTCAGTGGGGCCGCCTATCCCCTGTGGCCCCGTGGTGTTAGGGGAAAGCTCTGATGGATTGAGCACCATAGAGGTGTTCCAAACAAGGGCAAAGTTTTCAGCAATTACCTCTGCTCAGCCCTCTCTCACTTGACTAGCTCATCATCAGGCTGTGAACTGAAACTTTCCTGTGGAGATGTTTCCATCCATGGGGTCTATTCCTCTTAACAATGGCAAACTTTTCCTTTATGAAATCCAGCCCAGAACCCAAAGGTAATTTATTTTAATGAACAAACTAGGGCCCTAATAAACAGCATTGATTTTTTTCCCTCTGGCAATCTAAACCTGCTTGAAGCCAAATTAAATTTTTGTGCTCATCATGGCAAGGTAATACACAGTGAGTCCATAACGCTCAGCGCAACAGCAGGCAGATTTATAGAATCCCCAGACAGAGAAGTTTGAGGGAGGCCAGTGATTTGTATTTAACCCTCTCGAGACACTGCATCACAATGCCCAGCATCCTCCCCGAAATGCATCAGATCCGCCAGAGTGTTACATTTTATTGAAGAGAAAGCTGAGCAGCCGCGAGTGGACTTTTCCCAGAGTCACCAAAAAGAACTGAGAGTCACAACCCACTGGAAAGATCAGAAAATGAATTTAGTAGGTTGTGACCATTTAAAAAAAAAAAACAGGATAGAAACTCTGAGAGGACCCAGTAACTACTATGTGACACACACATACACATGTGTGTTTGGGTACGTCGGCCACATAGTTTATCATCCAAACTGGAATGCTTTTGCAAGTACAAGCTCTAATAACAGTCCTGTCAGGAAAACAGCACAACCCACGACTTCTCTGAGCCAGCAAAGGACATACAGTCCCCCAACTACTAGGTTGTGATGTAAAATGTATTTGTTACTGAGGGCCATGATAAAAAGAAAGGTTCAGAAACACTGATTTAGTGGCCATTTACCTACCTAACCCTCCACTTCATCGTCCAATAGTTCACTGCTCAGTAAGAATTTCTAGCACCCAGTGAATGCTTACCATGTACCACGTGCGGTGTTAAGGGCTCTACCCTTAGTCCTTACAAGACCCCTTTGAGGCAGGTACTTGTAAAGTACAAAAAAGGATTTTTGAATACAAGGAACAAGGACTGCCCACAAAGCAGTCCTGGGTGGGTAGCCAGATCCGTGGACCTTGGGCATCCTGCTGCTCCCTCCCCCTGGCATGCTGAGAGTATGGGGGAGGCGCCTCTAGGGAGGGCAGATGCTGGGATTTTCTCTCCTGTATACCTGTGATGGGTGGGTGACACCCACGGGATCGGGCCCTGCTAGGAAGGAAAATGGGCGCTGAGTAACTGAAAGCCGAACTGTACCATCAGCTCCAGCTTACAGATGAGGAAACTGAGGCTTACAGGTTGCTTCTCTTGAGTTTATGGCAGAGCTGGTGTGCTATCCACTCCTGCCCGAACTCACAGTTCCCCTCAGCGGCCCTTTTCCGTCAAACTGTTTCTATCCTGTTCCCCAAACCCATCACCCTTCACCCTCACCACACCACTTCCGCTCCAAGGAGGTCCCTCCCACCTCTCCCTGCTCACAGGGGTCCAGAGCATACGCCCTCTTCCAGGAAGTCCTCCTTGGGTGAGCCGGCTCTGTGCAGGTGGCTCTCTGGACCTCTCTGAGCCTTCACTCTCCTTTTCTTATGGAAATAATCTGCCTCCCAGCCAGGCTCTAAGTCATACTTCTAGAAAACCTGGGCAGGGTTGGACCAGACGGGAGCACTTTCCCAGCAAAGAGCCCCTCCAACTCAACATTCTCTGATTTAGACATCTGGGGAATGTGGTGTAGACAATGGCCACAAGTGTGGACCGACACCCATCTCATCCTTTTTACCCACTGTGGACCTGGCTTGAAGGGAAGAAATGACTTACCTTCTCTGCTCCTTAGTGTCCTCATCCATGGGGCAGAGATGATAATAAGCAGCTCCAAGGTTGGTGTGAGCATTAACTGAGATCATACAGGCCAAGCAGCAGACCAACAACTTTACTTAGGCTGTGCTGTCTTTTCATAAGTAATAACTCTACATGGTAGAAAACAAGAGAATAGGAGAAGCACAAAGAAGAAAATCAAAATCACCTGTAAATTCCACCACCCAGAGAAAATCACTGCTGATATTTTGGCCTGATGGCTCCAGCCGTGGTGCCCCCAGGTACCCATTTAGTTAATGCAGCTCGCCTCAGGTCTCTGGGAGTGTTAATCGAGAAGGTGCACACCGGGCACTCACTCCAGCACGGGGACCTCCCTCTGTACAAGGCCCATTGCCAGAGACACTGTCACCATTGCACACGGAGTCCCCAGGTAAGTCTGTCTCCCCTGTCACTCTTCACCCCCCAGGCTCTGATCCCACCATCCTGCAGGTCCCCACCACCTACATTTGCATCTGGAATTTTAAGTGTGGCATGTCCAAATCTGAAACCATCATCCACCTAAAGGCACAGCTTGGGCTCCTCTGTCCTCTGCCTCTCTTGATATGATCACCCACTCCACTGCCCTGGCATGGAACCTTGTTTGCTCCCTCTCTTGGCTCCGTGCTGCCCCCTCACCAATGTGCCACACTGTCGGTTATTGGAGGATTTTTTCTGAAGCCAAGTTCTCCATGGGTTAGGGGTGCCGTGAGGTTGGCCTTAGAAGAGGTGGGGAGCCTGGGACTCTGGAAGAGAATGGATGAGAGGCATAGGTCTTCTGAAGACATCATAGATCAAGTTGCTAGACACAGGGAAGATAAGGAACCAGGATTCCTTAGCAAAGATGACTTGTGGTCTTCTGTGGGTGCATCTTTAGAGGAAGCATCTGGAACTGAAACATGTGAGTGCCGTCAGAGCTGGGTGGGATGGTGGTCCTTTGTGAAATAAAATGCGAGCAGCATTTCAAAGGGGAGCCAGGAACTACCCACTAGGGGCGAGATAGTCTTTGTCCCTCTACAAGCAATTAGCAAGGCTAAGGCTCAAAGGACAAGGGTCTGTGCTCTTGACTGGATGGATTCGTAAGAACAGGAGGGACACACTCATGCTCCTTGGCCCTGCTTGGAATTGCAGATCCCTGGAGATGGTGAGTGGTGGAAGCATCCAACACAAGTAATTATCTGTTTATGAGCCTCTTGCTGAAGAACTGGGGCTCCAGGAAAATAAGGACTAAAATTGACCTTTGGATTTGGATGCATGGAGGCGTGGGTTGAGGCGTGGTCGCATGGCATCTGGAGCTGACCAGGCCTGCCAAGTGGCCTGGAGGTAGCAGGCAAGTCTGCTGGGGGCTCCTCACAGGGCGGAGGGTCCAGCATCAGGACCAGGCATCCATGTTACAAAGTCATGTATGGTGGAAGTGTGCTAGTGATAAGGAAAATCTGTGTCCTAAGATGGCCGACCGAGCCAACGAGAGAGTCCCAGTCCTTGCCCCGGGGCTCTTCTGGGTTCTTCTCCCTGCCCCGCTTCACACACGCGCATTCTCATTCTTCAAAAGTAAATTTCACTCCTTGGCGGCATTTCCAACTCCAGTGTGCACACTTTTCATAATAAATAAATCTCTGTTTCTCCCCTACCTTCTCCCCCCTCTCATCCCCCTGCTTTGCTGCTCTGCCCTCTGACCCCTTCGCTCCCTACCACAATCCAGGGGTCTCTCCTGCTGTACGAATCCACCAGGATGAGGCGGCTTCTGTCCCAGGCCATGGTGATCGACAATGACAACGATGATGCATATCCCTGGAGGCCGAATGTGCACAGGTGTTATAGACTCCTAAGCCTCAGCCTCTTCCTGCTTCTGTTTCCTTCTGGGAAACCACTGGCTCTTTTCGGTTTATCTGCCTGATTCTCTTCCCCCTTTCCAGCAGCCTCAGAATTACTGTGACAAAACCCTGTACCTCTTTGCAGTAGGGGTCCTCGTGCTCAGCCACGCCGTGCTGGGCCTACTGGTCCTGTGCAGCGGTTGTCTACGTGTGGTCCAGGTGAAGATTTGTTGTCCATGAAGACTAAGAACCACCCACTCTGGCACAAACATGCACCCATACACACACACACACATGCCCATGCGTGCACATGGGTGTATGTACAAATACACACACAGACACACTCACACATGCATGCGCAGTTGCAAGGGAAGGGAGTGCTGGAAAGGTAATAAATCCTTCCCTACAGGCATTTAAGAAACCACCAAGATGCGCTGCATATTCTAGAAGACTAAAGAAACTCTTGCCTCCCTGGGCCTGGGGAAAGCACTGTGGCTCTTTTCAGAGTGGAACTTTTGTGCTCATGAGTTCGCAGAGGGATTTTTTTATTTGAGGGGATGAAGTAAGGTGAGGCCGAGAATGGGACACTTTTGAATCACACGCAGTTCCAAGGACTGTCACAAGTTCAAGGTTTGTTGTTACTGTTGCTACGGCTGTGCTGTCATTCAGCCACCGGCAACCCGAGGTTATAGAAAGGTATGTCTTTCAAACAAGACCATCTTAACTTCACTTTGGTGGCTTTGTTACGAAAAGGAGAAAGGTGCTCTTGTTTAATGACCCCAGGTGTCTTTTGGGAAAAGTAAGGAGGTCTCTTTCCCAACCCCTAATCAGATGGATTTGTTCTGACAGGTAAGGGCATCCCAAGGACAGCTCTAAAGGCTGCCAAGGTCAAGGGAGTCAGTCCCCCTCGGGGCTCTGGTCTGGCGGGTGAGCCTGGCATCACAGAGAGCAGCACGTCCTCCCTGCGTACCTTGGATGGTGCTACTGCAAATCCTTGGCTTGGCCTGCGTCTGCTTCTTTCCCTCGTCGTCTATGTACATCTCTGTGGGTTGCTGATCGCATAAACCAATTTTGTGTAGGCTTTGGCCAGGCTGCATGTGGTCTGGTTAATGTAGGTGTTTGTTTGGTCTCTGAGTTTAAATACTCTACAGAAGCAAATCTACTTGACGTCAGGTGAGAGTTGGGAAGCCTTTGGCAAATCCATCTGTCTGGAAGTTCAGGATGACACCAAAAAGCAAACACTGACATCCCCTCTTGCTGCCGTTGTTATGAGTGAAGTTCCTGGGGACTGTGGTGCCATGTTGGTGTGTCGGAGCGGAGCGTTGGGGCTTTAGAGTTTTATTTATTTTTTTAAAGATTTATTCATTTATTTATTTTCGAGAGAGCATGAGTGGGGGGAGGGGTAGAGGGAGGAGCAGACTCCCTGCTGAGCAGGGAGCCCAATGCGGGACTCGATCCCAGGACCCCGGAATCATGACCTGAGCCGAAGGCAGATGCTTAACAGACTGAGCCACCCAGGCACTCTGCTTTAGAGTTTTAGATGAAGACTCTGTCATGTTTCTAGAGCCAGTGCCCGCCCCGGGGGGCAGGGGAGAGGGGCACCTTCACAACTGTGCTTCTGTCTCAGCTATATGCACAGCCTCTGTTTACGTGGTGCTAAACTACTTGCTTGCTTTTGAGGGGGAATGCTTTATACTCAACTCCTCACTGGCCGTCAAGGTTGGCTCACTCATCTCAAATGGCTCATCGAAAGGCTCATTCCTCTCCATGCTTCCAGAGAAAAGGACTTGTGAGTCCTGTGGAGAGTTCACATTGAATTTGGGCATCTGTCATCTGCTGTCACTTTTGGTCCCCATTCCTCCCAGGTAGGGAAGAAGGTGCTGGGTGCGCCCTCTGCTGGGCAAAGGGTGGAAAGCCCTTATTTTGCCCCTGCCCCTCGGGGACTGCTCAGGTTTTCATTTTCACCTGAGCCATGGAAGATCAGAGGGAGTACCACTTGAAGTTCCTGCCCTCCTCTGTGATGCCCGAAGTCATTCTCATTGTGCCGCATGTCACTCTCTCCATGCTGGGAGCTCAGAGACTGGAGCAGGCAAGGTGTTCCATGGGCAGCCCCTTCCACCTGCTTTCCCTAGGTGACGACTCATCAGTCACTCCCAGTCACTTAGCTACTGTTTGGACACAGATGAACACAGCTGAAAGCCAACAAAACCCATGTGTAAGCTCAGTCCAGGCCACACATCAACCAGCACGTCACTTAACGTCTCTGACACTAACTCCTGAGCAGGACCTGAAAAGAGTGTCCAGGCTCCCATCTAAAAAAATGAGCCAAGCCTATTCAGTTAGGGCAAAGCCAGGCTCTGTTATTTATGGAGGAGAATGGCCTGGCAGCCCCCTGCAGAGGCATGCTCCCTCGGTGCACGGGGACCACACCACCGGCTCGGGCACCTGCCGAGGATGGCAGACAGCTTTGTTCTCTCCTGCTAGCCCCCGTCACGGAAGCACATTGTGTTGGGAATGACTCTGAGGCTCTACTGAGACTCAGCAAGAAAGCGTGTTGGGACTGAGGAGCCATGCCCATCTGGGGCATGGGAAGGGAGAGGCGCCAGCCACGCCACGATTGGCAAATCCACAGTCCTACTGGGGATCACCCTGGCGTTCTGGGGACCGAGCAAATGGAGGTTCTCCCGCTCACATCTCAGCACTGTCCTCACCCCCACAGTGGTGCTAAAACACTTTACGGTGCCCTAGTGAGTGACTTACAGGAGGAGTCTGGCCACGGAGAGACTGTGACAAGGGGAGGATGCCCAAGGGAACATATCGCTGACTCCTCTTCATCTGTCGACACTGAGGACCTGAGCCCATGCCCCCCACATTCCTCCCACACATGCTTCTAAGACTGTGTTGCTGGGCCCTGGGTAAAGGTGGAAAGAGCTTATGAAAAAAATCCTTTAAAAAATCGTAAAACTGGCTGTTAGCAGCCCACAGATATTGGCTGGTGTTTGGGTACACCAGTAGCCAGGTCTCAGATGTTGGAGATGCCCGGTCTCTGATAGGCATGACTGTCCCTGGAGTGTTGCAGAAATCTCTATCTTGGCATACGTGATGACTTACCAAATACGCTTGTGAAAGTGGCAAAATATCCCCTTTGCCAGAAGGATTTATTTCCTGCCTTCATTCCTTTCTCTAATTATATCTTGTTTCACAACAAATTTGGAGGGTTTTTTTAATGCTGTATTGGAGACAATAAAATTAAAGAAAAATATATAGTAAAAAAATAGAACTATAGAAAAAACTGAGATGGTTAGAAAGCTGGAGTTCTCAACCTCTTTTTCCCCCTACACTGACACACTAGATTCTCACCCCAAAGGGAGAAATGAAGTAGGGTGATCATTCTCGTATGTACCCCACCCCCTTTGCAAAGGAGAATAGTGGTCATAGGTCCTCAATAATTACTAAAACCTGGACTAAATTTTCATCTATGAACTGCACATTTTCCACGGAGGAAAAAAAATATGCCCCCTCTGGAGAAACATGAGTTAAGTCTGCAAGCCCATATTGCTGTGCATCCATTCATGGAGGGAACATGGAGGAATTCAGTGGGTGACATCTTCAGTATGCTCTACAAATGCACCTGCAGGGGTGCCTGGGTGGCTCAGTCGTTAAGCGTCTGCCTTCGGCTCAGGTCATGATCCCAGGGTCCTGGGATCGAGCCCCGCATTGGGCTCCCTGCTCTGCGGGAAGCCTGCTTCTCCCTCTCACACTCCCCTTGCTTGTGTTCCCTCTCTCGCTGCCTCTCTCTCTGTCAAATAAATAAATAAAATCTTTAAAAAAAAAACAAAAACAAATGCACCTGCAGCCTGTGAATTTTAATTTATTAGAGCCTCCTTCAATGATGTGAGGTGGTTATGACAAGGCACATTTCGGAAAAGAAGTTCTGGGCCAAGGCAAATGGTCCACGACTACAGTTCTCTGAAGGTCTGGCTTAACCCAGAGAGGACCTTCAGATTGTCTAGGAAGTGATCAGTTGCATGTCCTTTATGTATTCCGTTAGGGTCATTTCCTTCATCTAGGCTTTTTGATAGAAGATGAGCATGGGATGTTCAGAGTCATAATCCAGAGCCCTGATTATGACTTAACACTGATGTTAAGTGGACTGCATATACCTGCAGAATGAAAGCACCCTGCCAAGAGTGACCCAAAAAAGTCAGCCATTCCTCCTTTGCAGGAATGGTATTCTGGGGAAATTAACATGATAACATCTGAACTTTTCAGATGTTTTGAGAAGTCAAAGACCAGATCCATACGACTAGAAGGGATAATTGATTGTTCTGAGAAAAGACTGCAGCAAATATGAGCTATACACTGAAGTCATTTAATTTTATTTGCTACCTTGGGCATCACGGTAAAAACCACATTGTCCCTATTCTTTGCCTGAATCTATGGAAATGGTAGTTGAAAGCGGTAAAAATGGAACCATTTCACTGGGGTCAACCACACCCGTGGTTCACGAACCTCAGTGAACCATCAGAACTACCCAAGGGTTTGTTTAAAATGCAGAACCATGGTCCGCAGAGATTATGATTCTGTGGGTCAGAGAGCCACACATGTGCCCTCAGGCCACACAGGAGTCCTAGGCTGACCCAGAACTGTTCCATCTTGGTAGTGACCCTGAGGGCCGTGTGGGTGGCACTTCTAGTATTTCATGATTTCCATCTGTTTTAGCATGAGAACAGGCAAAGCAGTCAATAACTTTCATTTTGGGGCGCCTGGGTGGCTCAGTCGTTAAGCGTCTGCCTTCGGCTCAGGTCATGATCTCGGGGTCCTGGGATCGAGCCCCGCATCGGGCTCCCTGCTCTGCGGGAAGCCTGCTTCTCCCTCTCCCACTCCCCCTGCTTGTGTTCCCTCTCTCGCTGTGTCTCTCTCTGTCAAATAAATAAATAAAATCTTTAAAAAAAAAATAACTTTCATTTTTGTATAAATGAATCTTGTGCTGCATTTCCTTGTGGGCATCTTTCATTGTCAGTGAAATAAACTTGGAACAATTGTTCCCTGGTGCTTTCCCTGAATCCCCTGGGGGACAGAATCCTCCCGGCCTGGGGACGCTTCTCTTATTCTTCTTTCCAGTGGGATTTCCATGGGGACAGATCGTACACAGAAGCCGACACCCATCAGGGACCTGTTCGAGGCAAACTGGTCTCCATAAAACTCCTCATCTGTAGGTGGGCGAATGAGTTCATAGT